GAAGTGCTAAAACAGACTTATTAACGGAAATTCCATACTCTGCTATCTGAGGCACAGCTCAATTCTGCCCTTCCAGCTTTCACACGCACCACTGACTATCCTCAAAGCCGAGCACCAAGCTTGGCACAGAAGAGGCAAGCCAAAACACCCCGTGCCTCACCATTCCTCTTCAGGAAGTGCAGTGCGTCCCGGTAGCCCTGCTTGCACATATCCCGCAGCACCTGTGGGCAGAGGAAGGCAAAAGCAGGTCATTTGGAGACTGCCTGGCTGAGCAAAGCAAACACCCAGCTCAGTGCAGACTTGAGAGGAATTCTCCTGACTCCTGAGCTATCCCAAGGACAAGTCTCATCCTTGCCAGCAATTCCCAGGCTTTGAGCAGCAATGGGACGTATAACATGAATACACTGGGCATAGGAATCACAGGATAATTCAGACTGGGAGGTACACCTGGAATCCGACCTAAGTTTGGGCTTAGAGTTGCGGGCATCTCATTTCCCCATCTAGAGCTGACGCTGCTGTGGGCAGCCTTCAGCAAATCACTCTGACAAGCAGCCCAGAATACTTCCCAGCAGATGCCAGGAGGGGCCACCAGATTTACAGATAGAGCCAGCTAAGACTAGAGTGGGCAGGAAAAAACTTGTCCAAGTAATTCAGCACATCAATGCATGCTTATTGTGCCCAAATGCCAGGGCTGCATGAGGCTGCATCTGCTTCTGCACACAAAGCTGTTTGTGATGCTACTTGCTCCACTTTTTAGGAGACAGTCACTGGCTGCAGGCTGGCAGCTCCAGCTTGACCTTACAACACTCAAGAGCACGTTGATTCTGACAGCTGATACAGCCTTGTTTACAAAAGAGCCTAACTTCCTGGCAAACGCTGCTCTGGAGAGCGCCACACAAAAATACTTTTCAAGCAACTGCTGCCACCTGAATTCCAGATCTCCCAGCAGCGAAAACGAAGCCACCTATACAACCCTGTGTAGCTGTGGTCAAGGTTTGCCAAGTCACTGGGCTGATAATGTCAAGGTTAAAAAACCAGACAAACAAGAGATACAAAATGAACAGCGTCTGGAATCTTCTTCTGTCAAAGTGCACAGTCTAGCCAGTGCCTACCTACTGTCCCCACGTTCTGGTGCTGCCAGGACACTCACCTGCGGCTCCGGAGGAAACAAGGCCTTCGAGAGGCGGTAGAGGTTGCGAAGGTTGAACTGGATGCTTGTGTTGGTGACTCTCAGCTCATGCATGTTTGTGGAACTGTCCCTTGGACAGATATCGCTCTCTCCTGAGAACGGAGACACCGTGATGGTGTTCTTCAGCTCATACCGTGGCAAGTTGTCAGAAATCCCTCCATCAACATATCTCTGCAATCAAGACAAATGAAGCACTCTTCATTCTCCTAACTGATCAAGCGGCTTTTTTACCCTGTGCCCCTGTTCATATTTGTGCCAACAACTTGGGAAGAGAACGGAGAACACCCACCAGCACTGGAGGAGTCAAAACCAGCGACAGCACAGCTGTGTTGACTACAGTCTCCTATTGCTATGTGTCTTTCTTCCTACGCTCAAGCATGTTGGTCACAAGTGTTCAATGAGAGGCACATTCACTTGTGTGACTGCTGATTTACACCTCCTATGAGGTCTGACTGCTGTCCAGTTAAGTAATATGACACACCAACAACCACCTGCAGCGCAAATCAGCAGTGATCTAAGCTGTCACACTGTGTCACCGTGACATTTTCCACTTGAGTTTAAAAAGAATAAGCTCAGGCATGAATCCCCACTGGCAGAAGTTCTGTTACCTAAGAGCAAACCCATCTGATTTGCTGTTAGCAGGCTTACCGAGCAGCAATCCCAACACACGCGTATACATTTGGAATCTACTTGCTGCCGTGTGGTAAACAGAGCACAAGAGACTCGTGTCTTGCTCTGAACAGGCACCCTCTTATCAGAGAATGTTCTGTACCTACATACCATAAACACATGTGCGTCACCCTTGCAGGAAGGGCAACCCCAGTAGCCTGTACTTGATTCAAAGTATTCGTTGGAGTACCACAATTGCACAATGAGCTGAGCAAGACAATCCCTACCACAGGCCTTTAGCAGAGTAAGCAACATGCAGAAGATAAAAGGAAGGGGATGTTGGTCAAGCGAAAAGAGCAGGAGGTTTGAGATCGTTGCAGAGCAACAACTCAAGCTCTTGTGAGCCTCCGTTACAGAAGAGTCCTACTGATCTCAGGGCTGATCCTGCCATTTGCTGCCTGGAACCCTTCCCCCTGGACAGGCTCAAACACAATCATCCTACAGGAGCTACACAGCCCCATAAGCAGCAGCTGTAACACCTTTCAGCTCTCTGCTGGCTGAGGAGCTGAGCTGACAGAGGCTGAACCCAGGCAGAGCACAGAAATGCTGACCAGCAGAGGAGGTGCCCCATTCTGCACCATGCTTTGCCTTGTCTCCCAGGCAAGACTGACCACTGACATCAGTCTTTTGTTGCACAATGCCCAGGAAAATACTGGCTGCTTCACATTTTGTTCTCTCTTGGGTAGCAGACAGGCAGAGACCTCTTTGAGCAGCTTCTTTGAGCCTGGGAACAGTTCACAGGCTGAAAGCAATCAAATTCAGCTATAGGAATCCAGCTGCAGGCTCAGGGTGGACTGCACAGCAGGTTTCTTGGGGGCAAACTAAACCTCAGGGCTACCTCTGCATATAGCCTACAGGTTCAAGGGAGGTGGCTTGTGAATACAGATGTAGGCTACAGCAGCACTAACTCACAGCACAAGGCATTTTATCCTCGTGTCAGGCCTTATCAACCAAACAGAGTATCAGGACAGACATAGAGACTCCTGCACCACTGGATTTGGGCAGTGAAGAAAGTGGAAGGACGGGATAGATTAAACTCAAGAAGCACACCCTCTCAGAAACAGCAACATTCAGCTTGCTTACAGGATGCCTTCCAGACAACAGAGGTTCCAAAAAAACCCAATTGAACCCTTGCTCCCTTTTAAAGCAAGCATCAGTTTTCCCTAAGCCAAAAGCAACCATAGCAAACTCTCATTGTCATCATCTCCCCAAAGCTGCTCCACTGAAAGCCAGAGTAGGCATGGCTAGAGCTGGAGACGTCTGGCTGACTCCCGCTGCAAGGATGAGATCGTGACAGGCTGAGTGGGAAGAGGACAGAGCAAAGCAGGCAGGACCCGCTTTGCTTAAAGAAGATGGAGGCAAGTGTTTTGGATACTTAAATGACACCACCAGTTTTGCGGTCAGGGTGCAGAAACATCCGTTCCCCTGAGGGCGGCAGCATGAGCGCACGGATGCCATTAGAAAGGAGGCTTAATTACAGTAAGGCTGACAGGCAAAGCCTTCTCACTGCCTGGAAATCTAGCAGTACACGTGCAGACCCCACTCTCTGGTCCACCGTTCCCCAAGCAACACCAATTACTATTCCTTACTCAAGATCAGCTGCCACTTTGGACTTGCCTGAACTTCGAGCAACCCAAACCTAACCACCCTCCAACCTCCCACAAAGCCCCTAAGAGCATAGAGCCAAGGCTGAAGCCACCAGCTGCTTGCAGGCATGAGCAGCAGCAGCTTTTGGGGATGGTTCACGAACTGGGGTAATTTCTGGGGTGCCCAGTTCCATTTCCTTATCATGTCCTCCCACACACAGGGCCCCTCACTCGCATGAGCTGACAATTAGCTTTTTGACCCTTGTTAAAGGTTCATCTCACCCATGTGCTGCAGACAGTTCATGACCAGAGCATGTATTTCCTCCCCCCAACCCATCTTCATCATCCACCCCATGAGGCTACCAGAGGAAGCTGGAAAAAGATGAGGAGGAAGGCAGAATATAGATTTTATGCCTTGCACACAGTCATATTGCCTTGAAAACTGGTCCTCATGCCAGACCTGTCAGTCTGCCCTGTGGTAAACAGTCATCACAGGCACACTAGGAACCATGCAGTCCTGTTTCAAAACCTTTCCCAGGCTCATACCCAACCTAATTTAACCTCTCCCCTTGCCAACCCCTCCTTCAGAGACACAGAGAGCCATATTTTCTGGGGAAGAGGTAGGAATTAATTTCCTCATCTCATGTAATCCCTCCTCACCCTTCCCCATGAGGAATCTTGACATGAGAAGTCATCCCTCAGCGTGCCAAGGCAGCTGGCACATTCCAGACACCCTGATGTTGTACACAGTTTTGGAATTTTGAGATTTTGCCTGATCCACACTGACCTCAATTAGCCCCCAAGGAGGTGGCAGGCAAGAGCCACTGCTATGCTCCCACCAGCTGTGGGACAAAAACCCTGCCTGCAGTTGCTGAGCAAAAGCCAAACTATTACCAACTCTGTCACTTCTCTGAAGGGCTAGACACTAGACATTCCTTCTAGGTCATTTCCCTGCTCAACATGCTTGTACAATGTCAAAACCAGCCATGTTGTACATTATGCAGGAGCAAAACTGACCTCACTTTTAGAACACAGGGAGCAACAGGAACAGATTTGACACTTTGCTCTGACAGACTGAGGCATCTTGGTCAGGGCACTTAGGGGAAACCAGGGCACACATACACTAATTTCTCCTTCCCCCGTTTGACTACCTAGTTTGCAAACAAACTGCCTTTTAATGCATGCATTAACCTGTGTAGCACAAGGGGAGCCCAAGCTCAACTGAGGCCCTGCAGTGTGACTGCAATATTCAGAGATGCTCCACCTCTGCACAGCTTTCAGATGTTTTCACCTCTAACATGCAAACACAGAAGGGGGAAATTGCTCTGGACAGCCTTGGAGAGGTTGTCAAAGCAAGCTCTAACAGGCAGCAGAACATTATTATCAGAGGAAGGACAGGAAGAACTCCATGGGAAAGAGGTCTGGTATCAGCACCACTAGTTAAAACCCCACAGAAAGCGTCAGGCGTGCACAAGAGGGACTACATTATTTCTACCCTGGAGCCAAGCTCTTTCCACATGCAGAGGGCTGGAGCCTCAGTGATGGACAGCAGAGTACCAAGCAGCCAGGAGAACCACTTGCCAAGTCAGCCAGCACCTGCCCAGATTGCTATATATTAACATCATGTCAAACCCTCCAGTCTTTGGGACATTTGTAGGCAACTGCAGGCAGCAGTGGAAAGAAGGCACATCCACTGTTGGAAGTTTGTTTATTTGGGAATTTCTCATGCCTCTTCAGGCTAATTGCTGACAGCAGACTGCCAAAATCAAGTACCAGCATTTCTGCCTTCTTATCCGTTAGTACGTGATTCAATGAAGGAGAATCTTAAGAGTCTTACTTACCACTCCGCGCAAGGTTGGAGGTATCAGCCCACAGTAGACAGGGATAAAGGTGCTGCAGACACAGGCCTGAGGGAAAGAGCTGCGGAATGTAAGAAGAAGATCAAAGCCTACTGAACCTATTACTCTTCTCAGAACACCACGCTGGAATTTACTGACAATTATACTCCAGTACTAACGACATTTGGAGACCGAGGCAAACCAAAACTACATGCAATTCCTGCCTAGCCCTCTGCAGGAAGTATCCTTTCACCTGGATCAGCTCCTCCTTGGAATTGAAGTCTGACAGTATCACGTTTTCTCCATCGGAGACCCGTGTCAGGGAAATACCCAAACGTCCTGCTGCAACCTCATGCCCATTCTCTGGCACTGTCTTGGACAGGCAGAGCCGAATGATCTTCACCAAGTTGAAAGAGGGGTGGAGGGGGCCCAAGAACCTCTTCCGGGCTTCTTTCGACACTCGAATAATGCTGGCACCAGCCTCACCTGCAGTGAGAGAAAGAAATAAGCACCATGAAATCCTAGCAAAACTAGCCTTCTGCTTTACAAAATCAGGCACAGAAAAGCCTCATTCACAGCTTACTCGGAGGTTTCTCACCCCTGGCTGATACGTAACTGAAGATGAGGGGCTATTATGGGCAGCGATACAGAAGTCATGGAAGTTGGCTGTCTTGGCCCCATCGCAAAGAGCTCCCCTCATTTTACATATGTTTTATAAAGTCAAGGAAGATCACATCATCTGGCTAAGGCCTCGCACTTTTTCTTAGCTCCTGTTTCACTGGCCAATGCAGGCCTGGTGAAAACACAGGCTAACAAAGAAAACAAGGGAGATGCTTTAACAACTTTGAACTTATGGCTCAATCCGCTTCAAAGCATCTTCCACTGAAACTTTTCTAGTAAGCATCATCTTTTTTCTGACATGAAAAAAGTCATCTGCCTGCAAGCAAAAGTGCCAGTAAACAGGAACGTTCGTGCTCTCTAGCAAAGTGACTGTCGTCCCATCTCAGGCGAGCAAGATGGACACTATGCTCCGTTAGGGAATCAGTGGCTTAGTGCCTCCTGCAGAGGCTCTGGTGTCCTGTCCCTTCTGTGTCCAACTCCACAGCACTAAACTAGGCCCTGACAGCAAGCAGGCCTCCTGAAGGCATGTCTGCTTCACCCTTTCACACAGTGACCTAGCTGGGTTTGGAGGAAAGGAGACATCCCATCTGCACAAAAGGGAAGGCATCTGCTAAGCCCATTATCTCACGGTCACTAGGAGCCCGAGCTGGCAAGAGCATCAGAGCTCTCCAGTGGGCAAGGAGAGAACAAGGAGAAAACAAAACAAAAACACCAACCCAAGCCAAACCCTCAGCGCCCAGCGTGCTGCCCTTTGCACACGCTGACTGCTGCTCCCACACGTATCTCCCAGACGTGGTGAGGGACAAGACAACAGTTCCTCTAAGTCCCAGCCAACCACTGTACTCCCAGGGGCAGCGGGATTACACACAGGAGAAGAATGTGAGGGGAAAAGTTAAAGAAACCAGGAGAAGAGAGATATGCTTCCAGAAATTAAGACTTCTCTCCAATCATACTGAAGTTCAGCTCCTGGAGAAAGATGAAAGACTAAGTTCAAGACAACTGGAAGCCCCTCCATTTTGCTCTCTTACCCAGTCTTGCAATTGCCGAAAGGAGGCAGCAGAATTGCCGAAAGGAGGCAGCAGAACGAAAGAACCCAAGTTAGACCCAGGTTAATAAATACAATAGAAATAACAGCAACACCACCCTCCATGCTATGTTTACACATCCCACTCTTTTGCAATACGCACGAGCCAGTAACGTTTTCCATCAACGCAGCCTGGGAATGAGACTGTGCTTAGGAAACCCATCAACACCAGTAGCCCAAGCACACACAAGTACCCTTGAACATGAGGGGTCAGGATTTTAGGCACTGAGCTAGCAACTTAGCAGAACATCCAAGTTCCCCCCTCTGAAGCAATTTTTAGCACTATAATCCCAGTCTTTTGCACTGTCCTAGAGCAATGTTTAGCAGCCTAATTCTGATCTCTCTTACTCAATTAGCAGTAAGCCACTGAGCCCAGCCTGTTCCACATAGTAGCCACAAGGTTCAACATCTTTCCCAACATGAAGGAAGTCAGCCTCACAGAAATTACATTTCATCAGCACCACGACATTAGCACTTGTAACACTCCCTAAAACATGATCACATCTGGCAGGGGGAGGAAAGACACAAAGAAACTGCAACAGAGCCAAAAACTGAATGAAGCCGAGCCCAGCACCTTGGTCACGTGACCCCAGGGAAGCCCACTCCACTGAGTGCATTGCAGGGAGTTGCTGGCTTAGCTGAAAATCCCAGTGGGAGGGTGGGTGCTGAGCACGCAGCTGTGGGGAGGCACCCTGGTTACAAAGGCAGTGCTGGGGGCCAAAGAAAGAGATGGTGCTTAAAGAACAATGCTTTCAGACTTGGCACCTCAGTGCGCAGAAAAGAGTTGATACCAATACTGAAAACAACTGCAATTAAATGGAGATTATGATGGTTGAGCTAAAAGGTGAGCTGGAAGGTTTTTTTAAGAAAAACTAAAGAACAAAGTCCCAACTCTGCCAGGAAACAGACTGTCTCCACATTTGAGGAGAGGCTTCAGTTGCAGCTGCCTGCTCCATCACCATTTCACAGCCAAGAGGACAAAATAAGAATTATTGCTACTTAGCAATTTCAGTCTTTGAATACTTTCTGGGTGTTTGTTGGTTTGGGGTTTTTATACGTGTGTGCATACATGTGCACACACAGGAGCTTCTGAGGTATCCCAATTTAAGGGCACCTGCGATTCTGTTGGACTTGCACCAAAGCCAAGTGCAGAACGGCTCTGCGGGAAGAGATGGGCACAGGGTGATCTGCAGCATCACCAGCTTTCCTGGAAATAAGGCCAGCTGAGGGTTCAGCCAAAGGAGTCAGGTTTACGTCGCCAGATCCACCACAGATGACAAGCCCTCTTGGAAATACATTTGGGAGAAGAGGTGAGAGTATTTTAATCCCATTACTACCAGAAACACTATTCCAGGAAAACCAGCTCAAACTTTGCTCACAGCCTGCCAAAGGGAGCAGCTGAACGAGAGGTGGTGAAGAGAGACGAGTCCTACAGGAGTCAGCCACAAGCCGGCAATTATTACTAGGACTAATCCAGTGCCAATTCCAGTCCACAGAAAAGTTTCCCATGGTTTTTGATGGATCAGGTGATTCAGGACACAGGGTCATGTGAAGAAGCTAAATGAAGTTCCTCCTCCCTTATTGAGGTAGCTACCAAGGGGCAGAGACAAGCCCTAATAGTTTGTATTGCTTGCTGAGGAAATACTTCATTCTTCTCCCACCACAACTAATTCCACAGTTGTCCCTATACAGACTTAACTAAGCCAATATTCCTCAAAAAATTATATTAATACATGGAACACTCCATTTCCATTAGAAAAGCCATATCCTCCTTCTTCCCTGCCCCCACCACCGCTCCAGTGGGTGCTGTTGCACACGAACCTGAGTACTTCAGGGCCACCATCCTTATCTGCATTTCAGTTGTGATGACGCAAAGGAGCATCAGGCAGTTGTGTCCCAATACAGCCCACGTGTCCCTTGCCAGACAAAGGAGGCCTTAAAGATCTGGCTTTCACCCCCACCAGGCATGCTCAACTCCAAAATAACCCAGTATCTAAGTCTCTAATGCCTTGTGTCCCCTAAACTACTCTTCTCTAACCTGAAAAGCACTCAGGAAGCATGTGCTATTTATAACTGTATACAAACACCTCCAGCCACTGCAGCCTGCTGCTGCTCTGTCTCTGGAAAAAGAGAAGAACCGAAGATCAATAACCTAAAACTGTTGTTAGCCGGGCTGCTGGGAAGACCCTTAACCGCAGGTAAGAGCTCCGAGATGAAACAGAAAGGCTACTTTACGCCTGCGCAATGCATAAATGAGGACCATCGCAGGAGGGGTGACGAGTGGGGAAGAAGGGCCTCTTCAGAGCCACATCTTCAGCAGCAGGGCTTTTGCACAAAGGGCACCATGCTGCTCTCCTGCTGATGTTTAGACCACACTGATATGCATTTGCCAGGCAGCAAAAGGACAGTTGACCCATAAAGTATTTCAAGTGGAAAAAAAAACAACCCTAAGACACAAACAAAAATAGGAGCAGACCGGGCTGAAGAGGGAGAGGGGTGTTCGGGACATCCCACCCATCAGCTCAGCCATGAGCCCCCTCTGGAAGAGCTCCACATCAGCATGAAGATACAGGGTTATTTTGGAGTCAGGCATGACTGGTGGGGGTGAAAGCCAGTTCCTCAAGGCAACAATCTTATTGTGTCAATAAGCTGATGTGAAGCTGGCTTGATATAACTTAAAAATGTGAACTAGCAGATGCTGTCAGGTCTTTTCCCACGGCTAACAGTAACCTGCCCCTTGTAGCCACTGCAGAAGGACCACAGGATGAACCAGCAGAGGTGGAGCCGCTGGCTCCCCTTGTCTGGCAAGGGACACGTTGTGGTGTTTCAGTACACAACTGTCTGATGCACGAGGGTCACTAGTGCAGCAGTAAATAGGATGCAAGCTTAAAGGCAAGCTTTTCCATCAAGGATGGAGAGCCGAGGATGGCACCAACAGCGGATGGATGTAGGGATGGCATCTCCTGTCCCTCTGGTAGGAGGCACAGACAGAGAGGTCACACCCCAGACTGCAGATGCCATACCTTGCCTGGGGTACCGGGGCAGCCAGGGAACTGTGCAGATCCTCACTAAACCTGCTTCTCATTCAACACCAACAAGAATTGAAATGGACTCCTTCCCACACATCAGCAACACAGGAGGCACCACTCCTCTCCTCTTCAGTCCTATCACCCAGCTAAGGCTCCAGACTGGCCAGACACACCAATGCCAAAAGCTCTGAAACGAAGCCAGCTAGCAAGAAGGAAGTCCAGGTGCTTCTGGCATTCCTCCAGCACCTTGAGGGCCCAATGCCTTGTTAGTTTGAGAGGGCGTAACCCAGCTGTTTTGACCGCAAGATTTTCAGGACAGGAGCCAGGTCCTGTGTACCGTAACCAGGGACCTCATTCTGGAGCTGCTTAAGTTCTGCTTAGCCATCTGTTTGAGCGATGTTTGTGTGATCCTCGGCACAGATGCTCCCTGCAAGAGTCCCCAGCTACAATCGTCACACTTTGCTTTCAGCTCAGACGGTTGCTGAGCATCACTGGAGTTCTAGAGTTTCCCATTGGCAGATCCCAGTCCAGATTTGAATTTAGCAGCAGGATGAGTCAGGAGTTTCCTAGCATGATGTCCATCAAGGTTAATTTAGCTTGGTTGCCTGTCCCTTGCTATTGCAGCTGTTCCTGCACCTCATCCATGAAAAGCTAAAACCCAGTCTCTAATGGTGAGCGTGGATTTCAGGAGAGCTGTCCCACGTTCTTCCTGGGCACAAATGCTGAAGCCGCTCCAGCTCAGCACACCCAGC